TCTATAGGTTATCTTTTCTCTTATTTTTTTTGCTGGTGTCCTTCGATGCACAAAAGTTTTAAATTTTAAAGAAATGCAATTTATCTATTTTTTCCTTTTGCTGTTTATGCTCTTGGTGTTGTGTCTAAGAAATCAGTGCCTAATCCAAGGTCACAAAGATTTATGGCTACATTTTCTTCCAAGAGTTTAATGGTTCTAGCTCCTACATGTAATCATTTGACCCATTTTGACTTAATTTCTATGTATGGTGTGATGTAGGGCTCCAAACTCATTTGTTGCATGTGGGTGTCCTGTTGTGTCAGCATTGCCTGCTGAAAAGACTATTCATTCCCCGTGCAGTGGTTTCGGCACCCGTGTCGAAAATCAATTGACCAAAAATGTGAGGTTTTACCTCTAGACTCCCGATTCTATTCCATGGGGAGATATGTCTGTCTGACACCAGCACCACACCGTCTTTATTACTGCGACTTTGTAGGAGTTTGACGTGGGCAAGTGTGAGTCCTCTATCTTTACTCTTCTTTTCAAAATTGTTTGGCTCTCTGGGTCCCTTGAATTTCCATGTGAATTTCAGGATCCGTTTGTCACTTTCTATTAAAAAGCCAGCTGGGGTGTCACGGGGGAGTTTGAATGTGCACGTGGAATGGGACAAATCAATGCGATGGGTCCACCCTCCCTGTGCATCAGACTCCCCCGGCCCCAACCCCTGAAATTCTAGTTCAGTTGGCCTGTGTAGGGCCGGCCTGGGCATCAGTGTATTTTAAGGAGGCTCAGGTTGGGAAGGACAGTCGGGGCAGACCGGTTGGAAAGAGCCAGCGAAGTTCTGGAAAGGCCCAATTGCTCAGGGTTACTGGACTCTATGTACCTGGCTCACCTCACCCCCTGCAGGTCCAGGCAGGGTGGCCCAGGGAGGGCCACCACACAGAGCCCAGGCAACGCCTCACTCATTGGAACAAGCCCATGAGGTCTCAAGTGCACTGGGTGTCCGCGCCTGATCATTAGTAATGAGTAGTCTAGGTGGGGCCCTGGGTAAATGCTCCTGACACCTACAGGACTGGCTTCCAGCTGTGGAAGAACAGGGGAGTTACAGGAGGAAACATGCATTTTTAGGTGCGTGCTAAAATGTCCATGAATTCCGAGCTTCTGGAAGGCTGCCACAGAGGGCGTCGGAGAGCTCTAGGGCTCCCCCTGGGCATCAGGCTCGAGTCACCTGTTTGTGCCTGCGCAGAGATCACACCCATCCAACCCCCTTCCCTCCACCTCGGTGGTCCTGCCAGCAGAGAGGCCCAGCTGCCCACCTGCTTCTGTTTGCTTCCTTCCCAGGCCTTCACCACGCCAGACAGTGCAAGCAGGGGACCAGGACCAATGTCCTCGCCCGAAGTCAGAAGCAACTTGTGGCACACCCTGGGGACACTCGAATACTTGCCTCCTTTGAATTTCTAGCGCTCAGAAAGGAGCCCCTTTGCCCAAGGAAGAGCCAGAGGTCTCCCCGTGGCAGGCCACCAGCTCCCTCCGCTGCTGGAGCCCGTCTGGCTGCAGAGACTGTGCCTTCGTTCCCGCGCCCCGGGGCGCCAGCTCATAAATCCTGGGACACACCCCCAACCCTTGGCTGGAATTTCCACAGGCGACTGAGTTAATACATTAGACCTTCATTCTTTCGCTGTTTACTTTTCTTCGATAAATCAAAGGACTTCAGGCCAATCACGAACAAGTTACGGCAACGACAACAATGACATCTACCTCTTCCCGGCCTTCCGTGCCTGCCCCGTTTCAGCGCTTCATCCAGGGGCACAGGCTGGGTGACCTCTGAGCCACCTTAACTAAGAACTGCTACCTTCCCCACAAGGAGGCAAAGCAGGGAGAGGACTGTGCTGGCCTCAGCATGATGAAAAATCAATACCAAGAGCCCACTGAAAACTTTCTGCTTTTAAAAAGACTTGAGAATTGAAATTTCCATTAGGTGCCTTTCTAATGCTGATCTAACGGGAAAGGTTTCCAACCAGCAGGTTTTACCCATAATGACAGATCAAGCACCTACTGAGTGGAAGGTGTGACCCCCGACCCCCCCAGGATTTAGGAATGAGGAACCCAGAGTGGGGAAGCGAGCGCTCAGACCAGGCAACCAGCGCCACACGGAGCCGCGTGCGCCCCGGGCAGGGAGTATTTAGAGAAAGGGGGTTGTGACCGACCGGCAACCTTTCTAATCACAGCCTGTCCTAGACTAACCATCTGTGGGAAGGGGCATTTAAAAGCCACCCACCTTGTGACACCTCTGCATGCTGACAGGTGGTCACCAGACTTAGGGCGGCGACCACATTGTAAGGCACGTCAAAGCCGAGTCACAATGTTGCACACCCGAAACTAACAGCACCTCGAATGCCAACTAGACTTCGAAAGAGCCACAGCAACCACTCACCTTCTCTGTCTGAATCGCTGCAGGAAGTTCAAAGCCTTTCGCTGCAAAGAACACCCAGCTTGACCTGAATCGCATGTTCCTGATTTCCTTGCTTCCAAGCGCTTCTATGGCCTTCTTGGCCTCTTCCTTCAGTCTGGGGGACAAAGGGGAGAGCGTCTGAACGTCTCGCATGGGGACTCCTGTGTCACACTGTGCTTGTCCTAGCACAGGGGTTTCTAGAGCCACTCACTCCTGGGGCATAAACACGAGGAAAAAGGCACCCCTGCAGGCCGGGTATGTCAGATTTCTGGTTAAACGGGTGACAACACCCAGGACTCTAAGACTCAGTTTGGGGCACAGACTTTCAACCCTCGACTCTGAAAAGCCCTGGGGTCTTCAGGTTCGGTCACACCGTCACACTCAGACAACACAACTTGCGGTCCTTGCTGACCCTCCTGCTCACTGACCACAAAATAAGGTGGCAGAAGTGGCGGAAAGATGAAAGCAAGGGTCAAACTGTCCCTTTCATAGTCAGAAAAGACAGTGTCAAAAAAGAAAAAAAAATCTAAAGCCTACTGCCGTTGTAGAAGGGAGCAGCTTAAGAGGGAGCTAAGGCCCTGGCTGGGTGTCCCAGCTGGTTGGAGCATGTTCCCAGGCACCAGAAGGTGGCAGGGCTAGTTCCCGGGCAGGGCGCATGCCTGGGTTGCGGGTTCAGCCTCTGCTCAGGGTGCTTACAGGAGGCAACCGATCGAAGTTTCTCTCTCCCATTGATGTGTCTCTCTCTCCCCCTCTCCCTTCTTCTCTCTCTCAAATCAATAAAAACATATCCTTGGGTGAAGATTTTTTTAAAAAAAGAGGGAGAGTAAGCTAAGGAAGGAAGGTAGAAGGGAAAACAGGAACAAATTCAGATTTCCCCAAATGAGCCAAATCTGAGTTTTTCCAAGTGCGCATCCAAAAACGTCCAGTAAGAAGTCCTATTAAAAATAAAACCTGAGGCTAAAGCCACCTGGGAAATACTGTGTTCAGGAGGCCCCTCTCGGAAATTCAGTCACGCAGATGAGCACTTTGAGGGCCCTGAAGCTGAGCAGTGCAGACGCGTCGTCCACAGGCGGCGAGAGCCCGGGTTAGACCAGCCTGTCCCCGGGGAGAGCAGCGCGCACACGCGGGCGTTTCCTCCCTCGGCCCCTCATACAGAGCAATGTCCTCAGCTTCCTGCCACGCTTCTGTAGGTCCCACCGTGGGTGCAGCTTTCCTGGCTGCGCTCTCGTACTTAGGGTCAGCGGTGGCTCCGACTTGCTATCTGAACATAATCCTTGGCTTCTAGTACTTAAGTGTTCCACTGGCTGGTCATGTTTTTAGAAATGCAGTCGGGACCTGGCCGGTGTGGCTCAGTGGTTAGAGCACTGGCCCTCGGACTGAAGGGTCTTGGGTTCAATTCCCAGTCAAGGGCACGTACCTGGGTTGCAGGTTCAATTCCCAGCCCGGCCGGGGCACGTGCGGGAGGCAACCAGTCGATGTGTCTCTCTCACATGGACGTTCCTCTCTCTCTCTGTCTCTCTGTCTGTCTCTCTCTCTCTTTCCCTCCCTCTTTTCCACTCTCTCTAAAAACCAATGGAAAAAACATACTCGGATGATGCATTAAAAAAATAAACAAGAAGAAAGGAACATGGCTGTCTTGCCATGGTCTCCATCTCCTTCTTTAAAGAAGCATCTCGTTTTTGGCGCTTTGTTGATTCCTAGAGGGTGCAGAGGGACCCTGAAGAGGGGGCACTCTCCACCCGCTGGCCTCTCTTCCCCACCCCCCAGCTGTGACAGAGCTGTACACACTCACCGGCTGCTGCCGTCATTGTGGGTCACCATGAAGAGCAGGGACTTCGCAGGAGCATCCTGAATGAACTTGGTCATGGGCCCCGAGTTATCTGTCGGGTCAATGCAAACCCGTTTTAGGAGCGTGGTTAGCTGAGGGCCTCTCCCTGTGTGCTGGGCCTCCTCCGCACCCCCCGGGAGTCCTCTGATCCCCAGAGCTCCTCTCTTGACCGTGCAAATGGCACCCCAGCGCTTTCCCAGTGAGCAGCTGCTGGGCTTCTACGTGGGGCCGGCTGAGGTCAGAGCACGATCAGATCCAAGATTCTACCGAGCAACCCGGGAGGCACAGGCGGACGTCCCCTGCCATCGCTGAGGAAGCCCCAGCCACCCGTGAGCATCCGAGATCCGAGCAGCTCCAGGCACCGGTGCGCAGAACCGAGGCGGGGATACAGAGCAGACCCCGCCTGGGGGAGCCCCTGCTACGAGGCCTGTCCATGCCTCACAGGAAGAAAGATGGGTGAACCTCAGACCCCATTACTCACCGCCGGGGAGTGTTAGGTATAGTGATGCTTAAGGCAGCTGAGAGTGAAAGTGCACAACCCCATGAGGAGTCACCAGGCCTTTCTCATGAGTCCTCTCCACTATCTTTACAGAGGCCTGGTGTTAATACTCTCAGCGTTGTAAAATAAAAGGGGCTGGTATATCCTGACCAGCAACTGTAGCCAAGACCCAGTGTGCAGAGTGGAGAGGCCGCTGAAGGAGGGTGGGGGTCGTGGGGCCCAGGAAGGTGTGTGCCAAGCCCGATGGGCACCGGGCACAGGACAAAAATGATGCTGATATACAGGGCTGGATGCTGATTGCATTATTTTACAGACATTTGATTTGAAAATGTCTCTTCCCATTATCCAATGAGGGAACAGATGGAAGAGATCCAGGGCAAGCGTGACCAGAGGAAAGGAATTTTCTAGATAATGCCTTCAAACTGTGGTATATAAACTCAGAGACTAAGAGGACTTAGGGACGACCATTCTAGGATACTCAGCAGGAACTTCTGGCAATTTTCTTAGCAGACAAAATAAGAATGTTTGGCATTTTGTTTGTGCGTTTTAAATATTCATTTATGTTTGTAAGTCATTTAAATTTTAACAGGAAAAGAATTTTCTTACCACCTTGAAACGTATCAAAATACTGTGCCGCAATCACTTTCCCAGTCACATCTGAAAAGAAGAGGAACAGTTTTTAAAAGAAGGTTCATCTCATCGGGACTCAGGTGCACTCCCGGCACCTTCTCAGCGGGGCCTGTTTCTTCCCGGCCTCTGTCCGGACGCCTGGCTGCAGCGATGGCCCAGCCTGCAGGTGTCCCTGCCCGCCCCGAGGGTGCTGCTGATGCAGGTCAGAGGGACCAGGGGCACGGGGCTCCTCGGCTGCCCTAGAACTTCCTTCCTGGCTGCTGCTTGTGAGATCTGATCCTACGCTTTCCTGTCGCATCTGCCTCTTCCGATAGGGACCCCGGAGTTCCCACCTCAGCGTGTTCTGCTCCTTACTTTAGGTTCTCCTCGGATCATCATACTGAGCACATCCTGTCTTGGGTTCCTGCAGCCCCACTGTCACTGGACAATGTGCTCAGCTTGCTCCCAGGGACACCATATGAAACCCCTTCCCAAACCTGCTACGGTTGTTACGTCAGGGTCCCCAGGGGCGATGGTGACAGAGCGTCTTTCCCTGGCCTAAGGGGAGACCAAGCTTTGCTTCCCCCGCGGCCCTAGTCGCTTCTATCATACGGAGGAGGCAGGAACTGGCGAGTGGTGTCACTCTCTGCTGGGCCACCAGGAACCTGACAGCAAAAGTGGGGCTCAACCCCAGGATGGTCTGTGGCCCCAGGTGTGCTCCTATGGTTTTCACCCCACCTCTGCCAGTCCTTCTTTGTTGTTGTTTTAATCTATATTTGGTTTCAGTGTTGTTGTTTATTTGTTTTCTTTTTAAATTTTCTAGGGACCACAAATATTCCGTAAAGTGAGGCACTGTAAAAATAATTAAATATATAATTTAAAAAATGCATTAAAATGTAAACGTAGACTAGATGGAGTGCAAAAACCATTGAAAGCCCAAGGAATCTTTGAAAATCCCATCACAGAGCCTTTAGAGAAGTTTTAAAGAAAACATTTAATAACTTACAATCAACAATGGCAATATTTATTCCTTTCCCAACATTTCCAGCCTTTTCTCCTATGAGCCTGAAATGTAAATAAACATTAGTCAAAGGACTCCTCTCTTACCAAGCCAAGGGGAGACCTCCCTGCTCCATAAGGTCTTCTTCTGTCAGTCACTGCT